CTGGTGCTTGGAGTTGATCCACTGGGGAGAGGAGGGTTTTGATCACTGGGTATGACCTGGTTGTGCCCTGGGCCTGAGCACTGGTGCTCAGCAGCACCATTCTCCAGAGTCCTGTAGCTTGGATGGCATGACAATTAATGATGAGTTTGTGTTTCTATAGATTGGGCACTGTGGCCTCAGCACGAGGGGCTGTTGTGCCAGGAGCTGCAGGTACTTTTTGACTTGGCTGTTCCAGTTTCAAATTAACCTCTCTGCCTCCTTTAACTCTTCTCTCCCCCCAGTTTTTTTTTTCTTCTGAGATTTGTACATCTTTATGTTGTTGCTTCTACAGAAACACTTTTCCATCAGCTTACAGCCCTCTGTCCCTGCAGACAGCAGTGTCCTCAGCACTCAGGAAAGCAAAAGCCTCCTTCCTATTAGGACATAATGGACTGGGAAGATGTGTGGGATGAGTCATTTGTTTTTCAGAGTGCTGTTTGCCATGGAGAGGTCAGCACTCAGATCAGAGCCCACTGCTGAGTAATTCTGAGGATGCCTTTGGTTAATATTGCATCACTGCATTTCAGATTTGTGTCTGGCTTGTGCTATCAATTAATCGCTGACCTTTGTGATATATTTTGTGTTCTTGAAACCAGGCAGGGACAATCAGATAAAATGAGTCTCCTGGGAGCCTGCCCTCCAGGTTTTCTGTTCTTTAATAATTTTTCTCATGCTGTCCTGGTGGTAGGCAAGTGCTTCTCCCTTCCCTCCCCTGCTGAAGTCACTGCACATTACCCTTGAATCTCTGGTTTGCTTTGCTCTTTCCTGTTCCACCTCACGTTAGTAATTGTTCATCAGGAAACTGCTCACAGGTTTCTCCTAAAATCACAGAATCACAGAACCACAGCATGGCTGTGTTTGGAAGGACCTTAAGGATCATCCCATTCCAACCATCTTCCATGGACAACCTCCACCAGCCCAGGTTGCTCCAAGCCCCATCCAACCTGGCCTTGGACACATCCAGGGATCCTGGGGCAGCCACAGCTTCTCTGGGCAACCTGTGCCAGGGCCTGCCCACCCTCACAGGGAAGAGTTTCTTCTGTATATTTAACCTAAATTTCCCCTCTTTCAGTCTGAAGCCATCCCCTCATGTCCTATCACTGCAGGCCCTTGTAAATAGTCCTTCCCCAGCCTTCCTGCATTTTTAAAATGCTGACAGTGCTGTAGCCAGTGATTTCCCCTTCCATCACTGCCTGTGCTTGGCAGGGCACTCTCTGTTCCCCCGGGCTGTGCTGAGCTGATGCCTGCTGGCTTTGTAAAGTTGTTGAGTGCCCCGGGGATTTTAATCCCCTGCTTGTTTTGTCCTGGTCATGTAAAACCCTGAAGCTGCTGTTTGTGTGTCTATGCAGCACACAAAGGCTGGGTTTTGGGCAGAAGGTCACAGGCTCTATCTGCCATCAGCAAAGCTCCCTTCAATCCCCTGCAATCCCCCAAGAGCTGGAGCTGAACAAGGAGCTGCCTCAAGTTTGTCAAATGAGGGGATTAAGTGCTCCTGTGAGCCTGGATTTACAGCCCTGCCTTTGTCCTGGTGAAAGCAGCCCCACAGTGCCAGCAGCAGGGGATGGTGATGGATGAAGGGCATGCGGAGACTCCTGAGAAACTGCTCTCTGTGTGAGGCCGATGCCGAACGTCAACAGCTGCAGTTTGGAGATTGCAGCGTGTGCTCTCCCTTCTGGTGTCAAATGTGTCACACAAAAAACAAGTGTCCGCCTTCCCTTCTAGGGAACATTTCTGTGTAGGTAAATATGTGCCCCAGGACCTCTTAGTGATCCTTTAGGAGCCTGAGATCAGGAACGTGAAAACCTCCGTGATCTGCCCACAGCCTTGGGAATTTCACTGAAATCGGAGATTTTAAAAAGAGAATTTCTGTGTGCAAAGTGGAAGCCTGTGTGACCTCCCCACCTTGCAAACACTTCAGCCTGAAACTGGACAGGGCTCCTGGGAGGGAACAGTGTGTGAGGAGCTGCCACCACGGCTGTGCCTCTTGGGGACCAGCTCAATGCGACATCTCCCCAGGCTCATCTGACATCACATTCAAAGCCCCTTGAGCCTTGGAGCTGGACCTGTTAGCAGATCCCAACTGTAATCTTTCTAGGTGAAAAATTATGTTAGAAAGAAGTTCTTCCCTGTGAGGGTGGGGAGGCCCTGGCACAGGTTGTCCAGTGAAGCTGTGGCTGTCCCTGGATCCCTGGAAGTGTCCAAGCTTAGGTTGGACGGGGCTTGGAGCAGCCTGGGCTCGTGGAAGGTGTCCCTGCCCATGGCAGGGGGTGGGACTGGATGAGCTTTAATGTCCTTTCCAACCCAAACAATTCTGTGATTCTCTGACTCAGTGGTTCCTGGTTCATAGGTCTTCCTCAAAACCACCATGTGCTCAATCCTCCTGGTGAAATGACACAAAAAATGGAGGGGCAGGCACTGATTTCTTGTCTCTGGTGACCAATGACAGGACCCAAGGGAATGGCTGGAGCTGTGTCAGGGCAGGGGCAGGTTTACAATGACAGAAGCTTCCTGCAAGATCATCCCAAGAATATCTGAAATATGCTTCCTCCTGCTTCCCACTGGGTCCTGCCCAAAGCAGTGCCCAGTGTTGCCTTAGTCGCTCTGTCCAGTTTCCCAGCAGAGGCAGGGAACAGGGGTGGGACAATTCCCTTATCCTGCTGGTGCTGGGACCTCCCCAGCTGGGTTCCTCACGGGGCTCTTCACTGCTGCCAGGGGGCTTGGTGTGTGCACCACGTGTGGGCTCTGCAACCAGGAGCAAAGGAGAGCAGGAGTGTCCTGTCCACAGCTGGAAATGTTGCTTCCCAGGGCACTGCCTCACAGACAGGCCCTCCCTGCCTGTGGGTCCCACTCAGGGCTGCTGGGGACTATCCCTGCTCCCACGTGTGTCTTCTCCCCAGGTGGATGAGCTGAAGGCCAAGCTGGCAGCCCAGGAGGTGGAGCTGAAGCAGAAGAGTGAGGATGCTGACAAGCTGATCGAGGTGGTGGGGGTGGAGACGGAGAAGGTGAGCAGGAAAAAGGCCGTGGCCGACGAGGAGGAGAGGAAGGTGGCACTGATCACCCAGGAGGTGGAGCAGAAGCAGAAGGACTGTGAGGAGGACCTGGCCAAGGCTGAGCCAGCCCTGGCAGCTGCCCAGGCTGCTCTCAACACCCTCAACAAGGTAAGGTGAGGATTCCCAGGGGGATCCAGTATCCCCCCTGCACCATGTTCCCCTTTACTCATCTCCATGGAAAGGAGCAGACAGAACCAGTCCAAAGGAAGGTGCCACTGGGGAAATGTATAACCAGGAAATAAGGACTGCTCTGATTGCAGGAGACCAACTGACTGGTTTAGGAAAGACTTTTGGTGCTCCAGGGGTCCCCATTTGGAGCCCAACAAACACGCACCTGGAATTTCTTTGATCTGCAGTTCATGCGGCATCCTGGAGCACCAAACTCCCACTGCACACAAGGCACAGGGAAAATCCAGGAGCTGAAAAATACAGGGTTATTATTGACATGATCACAGCAAGGAATGGCTCAGTCCTCCTTCAAACCATGGCTCAGTCACAGCCCTGTTTGGAGGCAGGAAAGCAACTCCGAGCCATCCAAAATGGGGGTTCTGTTGGATTAGATCTTGGGAAAGATGGGATTTTGGGTTTTGCTTTGGCTGTGGTTCATGGAAGGGAAAGGACTGTACAAAAGGAAGGTGTTTGTCTCTCCACTGGTTTTGGTTTTGTGCTGGAGCTGTGGAGTATCTCATTAGACAAAGCTGGGGAGATGCTGGGATTCTTTCCAGGGACCTGTAAAGCAGCAGAGCACTGGAAGCCATGGGCTCCTTTACCTGCTAATTGGAAATGCATCAGAGAGCCTGACCTGCTCTCTGACATGAATAACCAGTAATGTTTATGTGTGTATATATAGTTTCTCCCCAATTATCTCAGTCATCTTACTGGGAGAGCACAGTTATATGCAACATTAACAGGGCAAACAGTGAGCAAAGCTGGTGAGGAGAATCCAGTAATATATATATATATATATATATATATAGTCAGCTACCAGAGAGCTCAGTGAGGATGTGGATTTGTGGACAGTCCTGTGACACTGTCACCTGCCAGTGCAAAAGAAGAGCAGCCATGGCCATAGGGATGTGTGTCCTGTGCAAAGTGTGTGGAGAGGGAAGGAGAGCAGGTGCCTTTGCACTAATCCAGGAGAAGGAGCACAGCATCATGGAATATGCTGGGTTGGAAGGGACTCACAAGGATCATCCAGTCCAACTCCTGGCCTTGCACAGGCCCATCCCCAAGAGCCCCACCCTGTGCCCCAGAGGATCATCCAAAGCCTCCTGCAGCTCTGGCAGCCTTGGGGCTGTGCCCACTGCCCTGGGGAGCCTGTTCAGTGCCCAACCAGCCTGTGGGGGAAGAACCTTTTGCTGAGATCCACCCTGAGCCTGCCCTGACACAGCTCCAGGCTGTTCCCTCAGGTATATGTACTTCCCTTGATGTGTGGGACTAGGGCTGCAACTTGAACCCAGCTTGATTTCTGCTCCTTTGTTTGTGATGGGAGGATTATCTTTTCAGATGCTTTAAACAGTTCCCTTTGGTGCCCTCAGAACCCTCTGTACCCACAACTGCTCTCAGGAGAGCTAGCCAGGCTCAGCCTTTGGCAGGGTTTAGCTCTCATTCTGTTCCATACAGTTTAAATTTTCCTTTTCCTTTTTTTTTCCATGTGAGCCAAGAAGTGACCCTGAGCTGGGTCAGCCCAGCTTTGGCTGTGCCAGAGGGACCCTCTGCAGCCCTTCTGCCCCTGCTTGAGTGTTAATGCCTTTTGCAGGGTTTGGTGGCAGGGAGAGTGACTGAGGCAAACTGAGAGGCTATACTTATGGAGAGGTAAGTATATACATAAATGAGATAGTTTTTTATATACATATAAAAATATATTAAAATTATCTCATTTAAGTATATACTGTAAGATAATTAAGGTAGTTATTCTATGGACCATGAGGGGTTGTGAGAGATGCAGTGCAGAGCACCTGCAAAATGAAAAAAAAAATGCACACCCAGATGTGAGAGTGAGTTTGAAAATGTGAGAAATCAGGGTTTAGAGACAAAAACGCCCTTTCAGCTCCTCCAGTGCAGTTTGGCTGCTTGCCCTGTGAGGGTGCCTGGGCTCTTTCTCAGTAGCTGCGTTGCCTGGGCCCTGAGGATGGCAGGACATGGGACCCAGTGGATCTGGTGTTTTGGCATCATCATCTCAGCCTGGGGAGGAGGGAACGTGAAGGGACGCTCTGAAGGCTGTTCTAGAGGGGCTGGGAGCTATTTCTAGAGGTTATTATTTGGAAACATTTCTTTCTTCCTTATCCCAGTCACCTGAGAGGGCAGGAAACATCCAGCTCCCCCAGGCAGCAGGGAAGGGGTGGGAGTGTGGGGAGGAGCAGTGTGCTGAGCTGGTGCCAGGTGGGATGTCAGGAGCTGGATGCAGGGAGTGGAGCAGGTGTGCTGGGAAGATGCAGAGCAGGGATCTAAAGGCAGCGCTGTAGGGGCTGAGAGGAGCCCAATTTGTCAGACTGATGGCTCGGGAGCCTGACTCTATTAGTGCAGAGTGGAAAGCAAGCCCATTCGTTTTTATCTAACAACCTGCTTTTCCCCTTTCCAGACCAATCTGACAGAGCTGAGATCCTTTGGGTCCCCCCCTTCTGCCGTCAGCAACGTCACTGCAGCCGTGATGGTGCTGACGGCCCCGGGAGGGAAGATCCCCAAGGACAGGAGCTGGAAAGCAGCCAAAGTGGCCATGGCCAGGGTGGATGGCTTCCTGGACTCCCTGATCAAGTTCAACAAGGAGAACATCCACGAGAACTGCCTCAAAGCCCTCCAGCCTTATTTACAAGACCCCAAGTTCAACCCCGAGTTCGTGGCCACCAAGTCGGCGGCGGCGGCCGGGCTGTGCTCCTGGGTGGTGAACATCGTGCGCTTCCACGGCGTCTTCTCTGAGGTGCAGCCCAAGAGGCAGGCCCTGAGCAGGGCCAACACTGAGCTGGCAACAGCCCAGGACAAGCTGAGCACCATCAAGGCCAAAATTGCGGTAAGTGCCCTGTGGTGGGACCCGTCACTGCCTGGGGAGAAATCCCCTGCTTTGGGGGAAGCTGCTTCTCTGCACTTGTGGGTTTTTTAAGGGCAGGTTGGGGATCCAAAGGTTTGGGCCACTGTAGGGTTTTCTATCCCTTCTATTTCAGTGAAGCCCAGAAATCCAGCTGTGTCCTGGGCTGTGGCACAGGAAGAGTGGGAAGTGGGGTGAGGGGGGGATTCTGCCCCTCAGCTCCACTCTGGGGAAACCACACCTGGCACAGGTTGCCCAGAGAAGCTGTGGCTGTCCCATCCCTGGAAGTGTCCAAGACCAGGTTGGATGGGGCTTGGAGCAACCTAGGATAGAGGAAGGAGTCCCTGCCCATGGCAGGGGGTGGAATGAGATGGGCTTTAAGTTCTCTTTCCACCCAAACCATTCTGGGATTCTCTAACTGTATTATAGGATACAGCTGCTTTCTAAATTCCATCTGTTAGTCTCCAACCTTGCACCTGAAGAGGAAGGTTAGTTATGAACTCTTATTACTCCCACCTAATTTTTGTAACATAATTTACCTCTTCTCATGGATCCTCAGGAAACTCCTTCTCTCAACCCAGTGTGTACCCAGTGTGTGTGCAGGGCAGAGGGACTGGAGGCTGATTCAGAGCTGGGCTGGCCTTGTGCTCAGGCAGGTTCTGCAGGATCACAACTGCTCTGGTAAGAGCCTCATTTGTCCCAGCACAGCTCCCTGGCAGCACATCTTGTACCTTATTTGGGATGTTGCTACTTAATAAATAAATAAATAAATAAATGTTCTCTGAATAGAAGAAATTCCAGTGTGATTAAAAGTGCATTTCCACAGAGTGTGGCTTCAGGCCTTCAGAAAATCATCTCTGTGTTAAAATACATCCTGCTTTATGCTGCTTTTCTCTGTGGTCACTCCAGGCTGATACCTCCTAAGAACAGAATGTGGGAACGAGCTCCTCCAGAACCTGCCTGGTTTTGGGCTGCTTTGGCTCTGGGATCCCTCTCTGGGAGTGGGATCCCCTGCATGGCTGGAACTGCAGCTGGGGGAGGGTCCCAGGCAGTGCCTGAGTAGCCCTGCCAGGGGCAGCAGGTCCCTGCACTCATAATTTCCACCAGCACATCTTCCTCTCAGAAAACACATCACTCTTTTGATGTTTCTGACGCTTATTATTCTTAAAATGCTTACTGCACTTTTTACCTAGAAATACAGAAACCCAGTGCAGAGCTCTCCAGTCGCCCCTTCCTGCTGCAGATGAAAGGAGGCACCTGGAGCAGAGATGGATTTGGAGGGCTTTAGTGTCTAATTCTCCCACTTCAGATGTGCAATACAGTGCTGGGGAACTTTTTTCATCCCTTTATGCCTCTCTTTTCAAAAGCTTTTAATGCCTGGGCTTTTCTTTTTTTTTCTTTTCTTTTTTTTTTTAAGGAGTGGGATTTTGTTAAAGCAAATTGCAATCTTTGGGGAGATTACTGGTACCTCTCTGGCATGCACTTACAAAACTGCCTGGTTTAGGTGCATTTTCCCCTCTGCAGATGGGTAGTGATGCTGCTCAGCGTGGAATGGATGTGGAGGTACATCCCTACTTATCAAACTGGGATATCTTGGGCAGCTTCACTGCTGTGGGGCTGATTCATACCTGCTCACAGATGGGCCCCAAGATGTTACATACCCATTTTCAGTAATAAATGAGACTGTTCTGATTGTCTGAAACACTAAATACCTTTGCATCTCCTTTGCCTGCTTGGGAAATAAGATGCTGTGGCCCTGGGGAGGGTGGAGGTAAAAGCCAGGAGTGTGTTCACAGCTGTATTTGTGTGTCACTCTGGAGTGTGTCTGATGGGGTCCTGCAGGTCTGGCCTGTTCTTCAGACCAGATATATGTATATATTCCATAGATACGTAATTATCAGATTGTGCTTGAATAATGGGATTTGATCTATATGAGGCTTTGTAGGCACATACATCCATATGCACACAGGGACAGAAACTTTTTGTGTTATTAGTTCCAAGGCAGGTCAAGGAGAGACTGCTTTGTTTTTTTCCAGTATCCAGGATGGCTGCAGAGATCCCTAATATAATCCTTTTTCATTTTCAGGTTTGTTTCTAGTGTGTACCTCAGCGTTAAAGTGATTTACAAGCAGTTTAGCCTTAAGCAGTCTGCACTGGGTGCAGATAAAATCAATTATTACTTCTCTTATCAGAACTGAAATGCTCCAAGTGCTTGTGGGAGCTGTTGCTTTGCTTTAGATCAGAGTGTGAACAGCTCTGTCCAAGCAAAGGGCTCTTCAGCTTCTCCAGGTGCTTTGGCCCCTTTTCTGCCCCTTCCCAGCCCTGAAGCTCCATGCATTGACCTTCATGGGAGGTGATCCCACCTCTCTGGGGGCTCCTGGCCCGGATTTTGGCAACTTTTAGAGCAGCACAATTTTATTGCCTTCCCTGTGATATTCCCTTCTCAAAACAGAGTGAGGGAATGGCTTGGACGTGGTTCAGCTGCACCTCCAGCCACTCCAGGAACCCCTTGAGGATTTAAGCACAACTTGGGGAGGCAGCAGAGCCTCAAGGACTGCTCTGAGATCAAGAGGCTGCAGCATCAGGATAGATCAGATTTGGTTTCCTCAGCTGCCTGCTCATTGCTCAGCCATAACACTGTCCTGGGGGCTTGGCCATAAGGACCCCCTGCCTTATCCAGTTTAAATTCACAGCAGGGCAGAGCCCCAGTAACTTAGTTTTGAGTGTCCTTTGCCTCTGCCTGGTGCTGAGGGTGTGTTACATCAGGAGCACAGCCCAGCCTTGCTCCATGCTGGCTCCTGGTGCCAGCCAGGGTGGGTGAGCTGGGCTTGGCCAGTCCTGCCACAGGGCCAGGCAGCTCTGTTTGCTTGAGTGTCACAGGATCCTGGAATTGTTTGAGTTGGAAGGGACCTTACAGTTCATCTCCTTCCACCCCCTGCCATGGGCAGGAACACCTTCCACCAGCCCAGGTTGCTCCAAGCCCCGTCCAACCTGGCCTTGGACACTTCCAGGGATGGGGCAGCTTCTCTGGGCAACCTGTGCCAGGGCCTGCCCACCCTCACAGGGAAGAATGTCCTTCTAATATCCAATCTAAACCTGTTCTCTTTCAATCTGAAGCCACTGCTCCTTGTGCTGTTCTTCCAGGCCCTTGCCCCAAGTTCCTCTCCAGCTCTCTTGGAGTGCCTTTAGACACTGGACAGAGCTCCAAGTTCTCCCCAGAGCCTTCTCTTCTGCAGGCTGAACACCCCCAGCTCTCCCAGCCTTTCCCCATGGCAGAGGTGCTCCCGCCCTCCCAGCGTGTCTTGGTGACTCCACACCCTCCTTGTGTCACTCAAGCTGTGCTGTTGCTTTCTCTGTTTCCCGTGCAGCGCCTCGACCAGAACCTGGGCAGGCTCAGGGCCCAGTTTGAGGAGGCCACTTCAGACAAGCTCAAGTGCCAGCAGGAGGCTGCAGCCACAGCGAGAACCATCGCCCTGGCCAACAGGCTGGTGAGTGTCCCAAACACAGCTCTGCTGGCACCCGAGGGAGGGGCTGGGAGCTGAGATGAGCCACGGGCACACGGCACATTCCATCCCCTCCTTTGTCTGGAATACATTTCCTTCACTGCAGCAAGTTCCAGTAATGAAAATGCTTTTGCATTGGCTGTTTTCATCCATCAGGGCAGCTCAGCTCGTTAAAGGGACTGGCTCTGCTCTCTTCACAGCTCTCACCTCCTGTTTTCTGCTTTCAATGTGTCATCAAGTACAGAGGGGCCAAAACTATATGGCTCAAAAATTGTATTATGAAAACAAAGGTGAGAACTTGCAGCTCTGCAGGTTTTGAAATGACAAAAATTAGAGTGAAAAGCTCTCTAAAAGCAGCACCTGTCCCTGTTACCCAGACACCCAGTCTGTGGTGTCTGCAGCCCCCCATCCTGTGCAGAGCAAGACTGAGGAGATGTCAGAGCCTGGGAGGTGATGTCTGCTGCCCTCACTGCCCCATCAGCTGGAGCCCCAGCTCACACCCAGTGCTGTAAATGTCCTCAGTGCTTCATAGTTTGGCCTCTGCACCTTTGGCTGTTAACCTGGAGCCAGTTTCTTCTCCAAGCAGGGGACTGGGCTGCAGGAACCTGATCTGTGCTGAACTCTGGCCTGGGGTGAGGGAAGAACAGCACAAGGAGCAGTGGCTTCAGACTGAAAGAGAACAGGTTTAGATTGGGTATTAGAAGGAAATTCTTCCCTGTGGGAGTGGGCAGGCCCTGGCACAGGCTGCCCGGAGAAGCTGTGGCTGCCCCAGCCCTGGAAGTGTCCCAGGACAGGTTGGACGGGGCTTGGAGTGACCTGGGCTGGTGGAAGGTGTCCCTGCCCATGGCAGGGGGTGGAAGGAGATGAACTGTAAGGTCCCTTCCAACCCAAACCATTCTATGACACCACATCCCAGACCATAGTGGTTCCATCTTTTCCTCAACCCATGACCTGGGAACTAGGTGGAACCTTAACGATGCCATGATTCTATAGTGTCAGAAATTCATCATTTTGCAGAGTAGGCAAGGGACTACCTGCATCACCTGCATCCCAACTTCCTGCTGTGCACTGCACACCGTCTCCTGTGGCGTCCTGGCTTTGATCTAGGAATAGCTCTTGACAGCCCTCGCTGGTGTGCAGTTCATTTGACATTCAGGATGTGTCACCTGTGTGGTTGTGGGCAGAAATGAGTTCCCAGACTTTGAAATAGACACATTTGAGGTTGTATGAAGAATAGAACTGAACAGAGAATGATGCTTTGGAATAACAAATGAACCTGGGGGATGAAGGCAATCCCAGCCCTGACAGTGCCAGATTGGCATCTCCTGAACTCCAGATGACCTAAGGAAGATGCTTCAGGATCCAGGAGACAGGGAGCAGGGATCTGTGCATCAGAGAGGGAGGCTGGCTGGTGATGGAGTTTGTGAGTGGGTGTCGCTAATGCAGCATATGACATTTAGTGATGACAAATGCAAAATAATGTGCGCAGGGAAAACAAACTGTAATCATGCAGTTACATGGATGGGGCCTAATTACACTATTATCACTCACTGAAGAGCTCTTGGAGTGGTTGAAATGAGTTCTCAGGAACAGCAACATGGCACTTGACTGGAGGAAGAAAGACAAACTTAATATTAGTAATTGGTAGAAAAAAACTCGGGGAGCAGAATTAAACATCATTGTATCAGGTTGTCAGTGCTCCATCCCACACGTCTGAGCAAGTGGTTACCCCATCTCAGGAGGGTGGGGACAACTTAGAAAAGCTCCAGCCAAGTATAGAACCACTTCTGTGTGAGAAGAGAGGAAATAGGTTGGGACTCTTCATTCTGGAAAAGGTGTAGAGGGGATGGATGTGAGAGAAGCCTCTGAAGTCATGACTGCTGTGCCAAAGGTGAATGGGGAGTGGGTGTTCACTATCCCTCATTATCAAAGGCTAAAGGGACTCCCATGAGGAGCTTTTAATTTACTGCTTGCTTCATAAAAAGAATTCCAATGACTTCTAGGATGTGAGGTGGAAGACATCTGGGATGTCTGGAACGTATTAAAACTGGCAGTAGTGTGTGATTCAAGCGAAGGAAGAGAGAAGACCTGTAGGACCTAAGTGGATAAAAAGTGACCTAAAGAAATTAATTAAAAGTATGTAGTCACTCTACAAGAATTAGGAAAATCAGATCAATAAAGACTTCTTGGTCTCAGCGATGCTCTGGGAGTAGTATGGGAGCTGACTTCAAGGAGACTGGAGGGAAGAACTTTAGATGCTTCATCTATAAAAACCACAAAGGAAAGATGGAAGAACTGGACTCTGCACTGTAACTGTAGTTGAGATTAAGGGTAATTTAGGCATGATCCTTAAAATTAACCAATAGCTTAAAAGTAGTGTTTTGCTTCTTTTTCAACAAGCAGGATAAGGTAAGGACTGATATGTGGGCTGAGAGCAGGGTCTGTCTAGCTTCAGGTGGACTCCAGAAAATGCCCAGGACAGAGCAGGACCAGGGCAGGTATAGGCTGTGCTGCCTGTTCCCTGCTATTTTCCAGCCTTCATATGCTCCGCTGTAAGGAATGTGGATTTACAAGGTGAGACAACCTTATAAGACTGAGAACATAAAAATGGGCATTCCCCCAGATAAAGAGAAGCACTGTTGTAGGTGAAATACCTGGATTGTCTCGATATGGACCCACAGGAATGGGCTGAAATTCAGGGATACAAGTTGTACAGATAACTATGGATTTATAGCAGACTGTTCATCTCTTAACCAGGAGCGCACAGTCTGAGATCAGCAAAAGACACTAGTGAACCCCTGCAGCTCTGTGAGGAGGGTGGTGGTTCATGTTCATGACAGAGCAGCTCAGCTGGGGCACGTTTAGGAACAGCTCTGAGATCAGATTGGGCACAGAAAACCTGAGGCTGCTCTTTCTGTTCCTGGGAGGAGCCAGACTGCCCAGGGGACAGTTTTCTCTGATTCAGAGGGGCAGCTTTGGCAAGGCAGAAGGGCCATCAGAGGTATTATTGCAGTTGTCTGTTAGTTCTTGGGTTCACCACTCTGGTGGCCCAGAGAAGCTGTGGCTGCCCCAGCCCTGGAAGTGTCCGAGGCCAGGCTGGACGGGGCTTGGAGCAACCTGGCATAGTGGAAGGTATCCCTGCCCATGGCAGGGGGTGGGATGAGATGGTTTATGGTCCCTTCCAGCCCAAACCAATCTGAGATTCCGTGATTCTCTGAATCATAGTCGAACAGGATGAGCTGGTGCGTGGGTGCATGGTTTCACAGTGATGATGTAGATAGTCTACAAAGAATTGTAAAAATGATCCCAAGTGATGCAGATATGAAACACCAGGTGGATAAATGTAATGTATCTTGGAAAAAATATAGTTTTACTTCACATGCCCTGTAAGTGGTGCTGAGTTGGTTATTATCAGTCAGGAATGAAAGGCTGGAGTTAAGAGTTCTGTGAGTGTGTGAGCTCTGTGCTCCCAGAGGCAAAAACCCCTCACTAAAACCCAAAGCAATCTGAAATTGGATGTGAGGGTTTATTAGGAAAAGAAGAGAGAACAAAACAGAGAAAAATCCCCATCTCTGTATGAATACATTCTAAATAAGTCTTGAATGTGCAGCATTCCCACCGCCCCCTCTGCTGCACCTCAAAGGCTGGAGGAGAATGGAAATGGTGCAGAGACAGGAACAATAAAAGAAACTGGATAATAAAGATTGCATCATTCTGTACAGATAAAGATTGCAAGGCAAATCAAAAGGCTGCTTCTGAGGGAGGAATTACTGAAGAGGCTAAAGCTCTTCAAAGGAGACAGCAGAGGGGTACCGAGGGCTTGGAATCCTGAGTGGTGTGGAGAGGCTGGTGCTGGCAGGATCATTCCACTGGTTTTCCACTGGACCAACAGGTTTTATCAATTGAAAAGTTCAGGCAGCACGTCAGAGGATGTACTTTTCTACAGGAAGCACAGCTGAACTGTGTATCTGCTGCCCACAGGGTGCTGTAGATGCCAAAAGTTTGGTTGGTATCCACGGCAGCTTTGGCTCAGTCATGAGGGGAAAAGTCACCAGTTGCTGTTGAACACAAAGATCAGAGTCACAGAATGTGCTGAGTTGGGAGGGACACACAAGGATCACTGAATCCAACCCTCAGCCCTGCACAGGACCATCCCCAAGAGTCACACCCTGTGCCTGAGAGGATCATCCATCTTAACACTTCCCTCCCTTCTACCCCAGTCTCCCAGACTATTTTGCCTAAATAGTGTCATTTTTTTCCATTAAAATAGGTTTGCAGAAATGGTTTTTAACTGACAGGGCAAGATTAGGTTGAATATTAGGAAGGAATCCTTCCCTGTGAGGGTGGGCAGGCCCTGGCACAGGCTGCCCAGAGAAGCTGTGGCTGCCCCAGCCCTGGAAGTGTCCAAGGCCAGGCTGGATGGGGCTTGGAGCAACCTGGGCTGGTGGAAGGTGTTTCTACCTGTGGGAGTGGGTGGAATGAGATGAGCCTTCACCCTTCCAACCCCAAACATTCCGTGGTTCTATGAATGTTAAATTTGATTTGGGCTTTTGCAGGTTGGGGGACTGGCCTCTGAGAATGTGAGATGGGCTGAGGCTGTGAAGGCCTTCAAGGAGCAGCAGAGCACCTTGTGTGGGGATGTCCTGCTGATCACGGCCTTTGTGTCCTACCTGGGCTACTTCACCAGGAAATACCGCCAGGACCTCCTGGAGGGCATCTGGAAACCCTACCTGCACCAGCTCAAAGTAAGTCCTGATTCCTCTGAGAAGCTGCTGTTCCTGGGATTAACGTGGCCATAAATTGTGGTGCCCACAAGGATGCCCAAGGGAGGGGCAGCCCTGTGTCCCTGCTGAGCTGGGTTAAAGAGCAGGACGTAGCCACAAGTGATTTACACCTCTGTGGGGCAGATGTGGTGCCCTTGCTCCGTGAAATTGTCTTCATTCCTTCATGTCCAGAGAAAAAAAAAATCCCAAGCCTGGAGCCCAGGATGATGCTTTGCGGTTCTGACCAGCCATCAGGGCTGGCCTGGAAGGAGGGACGTGCACAGAGAAGGAATTGCTTGGAGCAGGCAGAGCTCACTGCCAGCTCTCTGCTAGGCTTGGAAAAGCTCCAGGTGTTTTTTCCATGCTGGACACAAGCTCTGTTCGTGCTGGCCATGCCTCTCAGCTGGTTGTATCCATGTCTTGCTGTTAGGACCAGATGGAGATCATCGTGCTGCAAACTCATTTAATATTTCGCTAATTTTTAGCAGGTTCCTCTCATACATCAGGAAGTTATGCCAAGAAGCTTTTAAATAAGGTCACAGTGGGGCAGTGATGGCCAAATCAAAGGGCTGACAAAATCAGCCAGTTCCTTAGTCTGAGAGAGGAAAAAAAATTCATTCTGCATTTTTTAATACTAAAACAGAAACTTAGTTAAGGAATGCAGTATTGTTCCAAAAATGACCCAACTCTGTGCTTAGAGATTTCAAGGATATGCCTGAAATTCTAATAGGAAATGAAAGGCCCACTCTGCTCAGACACCTGGCACAGGTAACTCTGTTTGTCACACCCAGCAATGGCCTCCCCTGTCAGGGAAGCATTTCTGGCCATTCTAATGCTGTTTTGCAGCAGAACAGCTGCCTTGTGAGGGGGTTAGTGATGTCCTTCCTGGCTGTCTCATAGAGAGGGACAGGGAGGAGTGTGATCTGAGCCAGTGGGACTTGGGCTGCTTTAGGGCTCTTCAGGCAAAACCCTTGGATTGCTTGTACAGTTTGTGTTTGTTCACAACAGGATTGGGGAAAGAAAACTAGATCAAAAGGACCCTGTAGAATGGGAAACCACTAATAAATCATGGAATCACAGAATGGTTTGTGTTAGAAGGGACCCTAAAGACATCTCATTCTAAACCTCTGCCATGGGCAGGTACACTTTCCACTAGCCCAGGTTGCTCCAAGCCTGGCCTTGAACATTCTGAGTATCCTTTAAGATACGTGCCTTCCAGGGATGGGGCAGCCACAGCTTCTCTGAGCAACCTGTGCCAGGGCCTGCCCGCCCTCACAGGGAAGAATTTCTTCCCAGTATCCCATCTAACCCTGTCCTCTGTCTTGAAGCCATTCCTCCTTGTTCTGTCCCTCCAGGCCCTTGTCCCCAGTCCCTCTCCAGCTCTCCTGGAGCCCCTTTAGGTCCTGGAAGGTGCTCTCAGGTCTCCCTGGAGCCTTTTCTTCTCCGGGTGAACATCCCCAGCTCCTCCAACCTGTCTCCAGAGCAGAGGGGCTCCAGCCCTCGGAGTGTCTTCATGGCCTCCTTTGGACTCTCTCCAGCTGCTCCACATCCTTTTGATGTTGTTTCCTTCAGAGTTAGAGGCAGCTCTGCAGGTGGGGTCTCATCAAAGTGGAGTAGGTGGGGAAAATGACCTCCCTCAACCTCCTACTCACACTGCTGGTGATGCGGATAAATCTGCTTTGTCAATCTTTAATCAAGCTAACTTTCCATGAAACAACCCACTGGAAGCCTCTGTCCTGTCCCCCCAGGTGCCCATCCCTGTGAGCCCGTGCCTGGCCCCCCTGGCCATGCTGGCGGACGAGG